CTTAAACTGTATTGTACTTTTTTTGTAGAATAAGATTTTTGTAGCAAAATATATTGGGGGGGGGGGGAAGAACCGCCAAATAGGAAGAAACAAAAAACAGCGAAAAGGATGGATCTTTTACGATTTGTACACAACCGCAAGCAAATAAGTTGCCATTCGTATCAGCAAATTTCAGCAGCTTTTTGATTTCTCATCAAAATCAATTGAATTTAAAACCATCTGAAACGCACTTTTTTGTGTGCATTCGGTCAAAAGTTGATTTCTCGTTTGGCTTCTTCTTCCCCCTAAGCCTCTGTCCTTTTGTGATACATTCAGGAAACGCACACAGAGGCCGACGTTGAGTGGGCGGGCGGAGCTTAGAAGAAAAAACCGTGGGCGTTATTGAGCTGTTATACCAGCTGGTTGCGAGTAAATAGTGATATAAACGTCAGCTCCTAGCCCTAGCGAAGAACCCATTGAACATAATTATGCTTACAGAGAAGGATTCTGGATTTTATTTAATCCTGTTTTTTGGGGGGAAAACAAGCTCGATCGGAAATATCTCGGAAGCTGCGGGCCACGAATTCGTGTTCATGCATGAGTCACGTGATTGTGCCATGTAATTTCTGGAAGGAGTAGTTTGTTTTTTTTAGTTTTAAAAAAATCAGGTTTTTGACCCCAGTGACCCCATGATGACCTTTGATCCCAGTTTGGTCATGTGACATGCTGGGGTGGGTTACTGATACAGTGATACTTTTGACAAAGTTTGGTTGAAATCGGTCAAAATATGTAGGAGCAATAGACAATGTCAATAAAGGACTATACGAAGAGATATGATGATTTGTTGATTGAGCTGCTATATCTCGCAGCTAAAAACACAAGTAATAGCATACTCTCCTTGAACGTAACGCCACTAATAAAAATGAATTATTACATAATTTTGAAGAACTCACTACTGAAAGATTAATCAGGATATGATCAAAATGAAAAAAATGGAAGTTTACAGCATAAGATGTTGCCACACCCATGCCTCGAAAACCTTACAGGAAACGGTCGTTGTGTTAACCATGACAATACATTTTTGAAAATGACATTTCGAAATTTATATACACGTATACAAGTAATATCTGAGCGCCAGAGTATTACCAGCGAGACTTGGTTGAATGATTGCAGTACCAGTAGTAGGAACACTGCTTGCAATTTACCGTTATCAGCCATTGTAAAATTGATTAATGTATGTTTTGTTTAATAGCGAAAAATCTTATATTCCGATTTGGGACGTCTGCAACCCTCTTAAAAAGGGCTGTCATTTTGCGCACAAAATGAACCCGTCCTGAGAGAGCCGAATTATTGTCTGCAGCCAATATTCGAATTTTGTGAAGAAATGATTTAATAATTAAACGTGACTGAATTTTTTTCGCTCGACATCTCATTTATAAGTGAATAACTTATAAAGGGTGGGAAATAGCAATTGAAAAAGCAAATCTATTTTTCGAGGTTAAACTCGAAAATATCACGGGGAACTATCTTTAACTGAATTTCGTCGTATTATAAAGAAAAACTACAATTGATTATTCAAACTGGCCTAAATAATTGTTTTCTCTTGAACTTGGTTCCGAGACACGAAATCAATGCTAACTATATACATGTACATTATACATATGATTATGAGTCACTTTATTCGAAATTATGTGAGGCGTAACTATCGACCTCAGCATAAAAGAACAATGGAAGCAGATTGCAATTACGAATTCGTGTAATCCCCGACAAAATATAGCAAATTATACGCGAGTCTTTGGGTAATTCATGTGTGGTGATGAAATCTGCTTGCACCAGCCAAACAAAAAGCAAATATGGTGACTGATTTGCATAATATATGCATTATTCATGAGCGTCCATGGCCTTGTTACATACAGCATTGTTCATTTCTGCAATCTGACGGATGCAGTTTGGTACTTTCTGTGCGAAGTGTACATATATGTACATGTACATGTACATTATGAAACCGCTGGTTTTTATGGCCCGCCACAGTGACGTCGCAGTATTGCGGAACACGCAGAAACAGTTCCCAAGTCCTAAAATGTGTGTTTCTACCAAATTAAGCTTTGAATGAAACGTAGATCCGAAATACCACATCCGAAATACGGTTACCACAAAGTCTGACTTCAGCGTTTAGAAATTATCCGTCTACTTTTTTTTGGGTTTTCTAATTCCACGGCCCTCTAATTCTTCAACTGACTTCCTGGTATTTTTTTATAAAATAATTTTCTAATTTTCTAATTTTCTATGGATTTCCCCTAAAACGTACCAGCTATTAAAGATTGATTTCACGAATTCAACATAAGCAAAGACCATCCAGCCCAATGATGCCATATGCTGGCAGTAAAATTATTTAATCAGATATTAATAGACGCTTGATTCGTGTTTAACAAACAATCGATGACATGAACGAACGTCAATGCAAGAAACAAATTGAAACATTGAAAAATTGTTGCCATGCGTAAATTTAAGACTTGAAAGTAGAACCTTTGTGTAGGGACTGATATCGCCCCTGTTAAAGCGAAGAACATAATTGACGAAAAAATGTTATTATATAAAGATGAAACATTAATGTATTCACATTTGGGGGGGGCAATCACGGATGAGTTAATTAAACTGTTAATCATTGAATGACTCTTGCGTAAAAACACGGACGTGATGTTACGAAAGGGTCCGACTTTGATGTGCAATCAGTTGATCTACAAGGGGGCGGGGTAAGCGGTCTAAGCCCCTCCCCCATGAAGGTAGGAAAATCGTGAAGACAAAACGTACGTAGCACATGCCTGACCCCCCCCCCCCCCCCCACCCCCACCACCACCACCACCACCCTTTAAAGCTACAATCCAAAGCTGGAGCTGCCATAATGACAATACTTTGAGTCTGCGGTAGGCCTGTCGGTCCGGAAAAAAAGCAGAATAAATCTTAATATATACTCGACATGCGCATGTCAATGAACTAATAACAGCACTGGATAGTCGCAGCATGAGGCGCCGAGTTTAGCGCGCAAGGTGATTCACCGAATTTAGATTCAAAAACTGAAGGGCGTTTACTATCAACCGAAATTGATTTTTGACTCAGATTCTATTGAAAGGGATGACACTGAATCATATCTTAGGTTCAAATATTTCATTAAATTTAAAAAAAAAATCTAAATGAAGTTATGACACGATGAACTTCAGTCCGTGATTGCCTCCACGACATTAAATCTTGCGCAATCCCACATACAGAGATAACCTGGCAAATGTATTAGGCCTGAATGAAAATTAGTGACACGTCATGAAGTAAAAAAGTCTTATCTTGCCGAACTTGATGAGATAAAGCACGTCACTGATTTCGTTTTGGTTGCAACGTCAGCATGAATCGAAGGAAGGCATCGACTGTTAAGTGTAAAGCCCCCTTTGCCCTAAAAAATGCACCAACCCTAATTTGAATCCCATTGACAAATTACATCATGAAGTACACCACTTCGTATAAAAACATCGAACAATATTAGGCCCTGCGTAGAGGGTGGCGTCCATGCATTATTCCGAGATTCAGAATAATGCAGTGTAACTTTTGTCTTCATTGACCTGTGCCATGGCCTCAAATATCTTCAATAAATTGGCAAAGTTAAAAGTACATTTTCCCAGTTTGATTAATTAATTAATTAATATAGTTGGGTGGGTTTTTTTTGGGGGGGGGGTGGATTTACGGTCGTGCTGATCATGAAGAGAAGTAAATTTATAATACAATGGCGCAAACTAATAACCGGTACTATACCGGCGTACCCCATTTATGACGCAAACTTATAATGTATGACATTTGTTATTCAAGACTGACTAAACCCACAGAAGGCGGGGAGAACCTCTAAATATTTATGATTTTGTCATCGGGATTCGAGGCCATGGAAGTATTAACATTTATAAGGTAACATTTATCTGCAAATTGGTATCCCTGGCTTAGGCAATGAAATTCATCGAACTAGATGTCCCGTCGAGTCACATGTACAAGTCCAGGCTTTCTTAATCGTTCCTATGACGTCATTCCAATAAATTCCCAAGATGATGTTATTTGGCTGCGACGTGTACTAGTTTTCAAGCATCAGTCAGTTTATTTTCGGGTAATGATGAATAGATTGTTAGGATTTTCATATTTTCCAGTTGCGACGTCCACGCCCAGCCTCGCCCCGCCCCTCCTCACCCCTCCCGCTTACCCCGGCTTCAATCCATGTTCTTTCAAACCCCATCATTCTCAAGCTGAAGGCAATTCATGTGGGCTACTCATGATAGGGTTTTTTTTTAATTTCCAAACGGCACTTATATAGAGTAACTTGACTGAATCACACTGAATTTCCAGAATTTTCCAGAATGTCTGCCGGGTAGCCATGACACACTTGTGATTTATACCCGCCACACGACCCACATGGCATTGTTACCTGACTATCAATTTCTCGAACAACAGAAAGTGACGTTTGAACTTTGTCAGGCAGTGACGAGGCAGTTAATTAACTAAAAGCATATTGATAACAACAATAATAAACCGACACGCGTCCGATTCCTTAAACTACGACGACTTACACCATCGCTACACGCAATCCATTTTTGTAAATATTCATTTTAATTTGCCCGTGTGGAATTCGGTTCTGCGTCTATAAAATTTTATTGCAGTAACTATATGCAGCAGGACCGTCGGTTGAGGTTGAACCACTGAACAATGAGCGTGTCTTTTCCTGGCCGGATCCGGAGCGTGAATTGATATACTGAAAAGGAAAAATTCCATCTTTCAGTTCACGTCTGAATCAGATCATTGGTTCAATTCTATTCTCTAGGGCGAAAAAAATAAGGACGGGGGTGCGAACTAGTTCGATGCGCCGCGGGCCGAACTGCCCCCCCCCCCCCCCCTCCATAAGGTCACCTCATCAGTTACAATAGCCGTGACGTCATGCATGTAAACAAGCGCGTGGAGACGTCACGTGTTCAGAGCCGAGGCTGTCACCAGACGGGCTAGTGTTGTGTCAACGCGACTAGTCGTTAGTCAGGAGGCGATCTACCCGCACGCTGTTTAGCAACTCGCGTGGGCTCGATTGGCTATGCGCGGACTGCATGTAGTGTGTGAACCACCCGGCCGTACGTGTTACCTCAACGGATCGTTTGGATTTGTACACTCACGTCGCCACTGAATGATACCATTATCAACACGGCTATTGAAAGGCTAGCGCTCACATGATCGCAACAAACCAAACCCGATGGAGTTTGAATGATAAAAATCGCCAACCGTCAGTTACTGTGGAATATCGTTCACCGATGACAACTGCCGGCTGGATATAAACTCGTCTCAAATTGCTGGATTTTTTTAAAAATATTTCGTGGGATTTGATTCAATTTTTTGGAACTTTCCAAAATGGATGGAGACAGAGTTTTCATCGCTGATTGCATCAAGAAGAGAAGATCTCGACATGTGAGTATACACCGTTACACGAGTCTTATGTAACTATCGCCCAATCTGAAGGTCAATTTTGTCTCTAGGCGGAGTGCAATAGACACTGCAGTTGACAGTACCCATGGCCGGCAGTATTGTTAGCAATGATTTCGTAACTGCGTGCAACTAGTAGTAGTAGTTGATTGATCGGGTTTATCTGGGTCATCATGCAGTGTGTATATGCTCTAGAATAATTAACTGAGCATTTAAAATTAACTGGTCGGTTAATACCCGATATTTTTTTTCCTGCATAAAAAAAATCAACTATTTGTATCTCCATTTTATGGATTTTATTTTGAAGTCGATGTTATATTTACTTGTAACTTCGTATATCCAAATAGCCCAATTACCTTTTAAATCAGTATGATATGATTATAAGCGCTTGATGCAATCAGCGATGAAATCCTCTGTCTCTGTGGTCAATATATTTCGAGTTCCACATATTAGTTAAATATTGGCGCACAAGTTTAATTTTTTCTATTGGAATAAATTCTAACTGAAATATTCAACAGTCGAGTTTAATAATTATCGATTTAAAGTGGTAGCAGCCTGGGCTTACTGTATTGACTAGTCATGCTGAGTAGAATACGTTGACAAACACAATGCCAGAGATCATAATGATAACAGCACAGTGATATATTGACAGTCGGTTAATGGCAGAGTCAACCAATATTGTAGGGCCTGTACATGTTGCAGCCCTTGTTATATGGCAAGCCGCAGACAGCAAGCTCTCGGCCCCGGGGCCTGGCTTATAAGTCCACCCACGCTCTATAGCACTCAGTCTGTCCAACTGCCTTGCCTCAGACTTGCATCATGACTCAATACCCATTCATTTATCTTGTTAGCGCGACATCGCGAGACCATTTCACAGGTTTAGGCTTGGGGGGGGGGGGGTGATTTGAACAAGGAAATCCGATCACAATTAAAGTCTTTAAACGGCAGAAATACAAGGTCAATCATCCGTTTGTGTACATATATTAACACCCCTTAAATTTGTGAAGTTAGGATTTTTCAGCTGAAAAAAAAATTGAGGCGGGAAAAGGGTGAAACGAGATTTCCTTAAGGATTTTTTTCTTATAGCTAAGTAAACCCCTTAATACTTGGCTTTACAATTCCGGATACGAGGGGGAGCGCAGAAGGGATTCGTTGGCGTAAATAGCCCCTTTTCCTTGAGCACAGACCCCAACCAACAACCACTCTAATTAATCAGTTCCTAAACCAACGTCAGACGACAAAGATTTCAGCCCCTTCCTCCCATAGAAGGACCCTCGAATAGTTCTCGGCTTTCTAAATAATAAAAAAAAATATATTAATCATGTATAGTCCTTAATTTTCTCCAGTCCCACCTGATTTGAATATTTTTCTTCTTGTCCGTTTCTTCTCACAGGGGAAAGTTGAGTTCCTTGTCAAGTGGAAAGGCTGCCCAAGCAGGTATATAAATAGTAACATGACGTCATAACTCCCACGAAGCGTATGTCAAACTAGTTAGCACTCTTTATGCCGTATTTTGGTATGAGACAACCCGTCACTTTTTGTCGCAACTAACCACACCCTATTGCACTGATGACGTGTGGTTTAGGAATTGTTGCGATAAAAGACGCCCACAAAAACAGATACTGTGGAAATGTTAATGGACGAAACCGGTTTTTGTGTATCATGGACACTGTTTACAACATTGAAGGACAAAATCACCAAATAGCATCAGTTTTATAGACCCATGTAATTCTTTGACTGCAGTTTTTGAAAGCACCGGGACACTACAAAGTATCTAGTCATGAATAAATCACGAAGGTACATAACGTGACGTCAACTTTAGAGACATTATTTTTTTTTTATAATAGTTGCATCGGGCAAAGTCGCAGATCTATCAGCGTAGAAAAGTGTCCAATAGACTTTACTCACGAGTCGGCCATATTAAATTGAAAGCGAGGTAACATCTTCAGTTTTGGAATTTGCGAGTAGAAATGAAAGCAATGAAATAAAAGTTCATTACAAATTCATGCCAGTCTGCTCTGATGAATATTTAAAAATTTGTGATTTAACATGCCCTAATGTTTTAAGCCACATTACAAAAATATCGAAAGTGAGGTTTGGAATGCATACCAATCAACTAGTCTGGCACCATCCCATTCAACAATTCACAATTTATAAAATAGATTCAGGGAACACGATCGAAAATGGCTTCCTCGCGAATAAGGTGGCCTTGTGGTAATAATATAGCACAGTTCATGGAATTACAGGATTCTCCGTCAGTAGGCCTTATTCTTGAACGGATGAGGAGGTTTGAGGGCGCTGTGTAAGACGTCATTTGGGGGATAAACACACGTGTGTCAGATGAGTCCACGGTTATTGCCGTAAGGTTGCATCATGTTGCTACATGTCAACAATTGCATTTTGACAATCTTTAAGTTTTAGATTGAGGTGAAGATGTAAACGGCTTTAAATGAACGTCATTTGTCTGGTGTTTGTAAACAGAAGATTGCGTCGTCATCCACTGACAAATTATCATGAAACGGAGGCTCCTTTTTGTTAATTCTCGCAATAAAAGAGAGTACTTGGGCCCTTTGCTTCAGTGGCAAGTTGAAATTCCTCGATAAAAGTCACGATATTTAATAACCTGCATCATTATAATGTCAGTGAGCCCCGGCAAGGTTGAGCCACGGATGTAAGTGATTGTGAGGGTACGTGTCCTTAAGTTGAGGGATGAAGCAGGTTCGAGAGAGGGACAGTTATTTCGCTGTCCCCCCCCCCCCCCCCCTCTTTAACTGCGTCGGGGATAATTTGGTAATTGAAATGTAAGCGATTTATTAAAAAAAACATTGTTTTCTCAGTATCCGTAGATCAGTGGTGTTGAAACCCGTCATTGAATGTATTCCAAAGTATTGATTTTACGAAAGGTATATTTACACAAACGAAACACTGACGCAAAAGTACTTTTGATATTTGTTTATTAATCACTGGCTTGCGAAACTGTGTCGTCAGCTTAATGAAGGTATTTAAACCGAAAGTCTGGGTTTAGCTTTGTTTGTAAATATTTGTAGTAAAGATGGTTGATATTGTGTGAGCAATTGTTATGTTGGAAATTGTTTGAAACGTGACACCATGACTAAAGCTGGTGTCATGTCGAAACTCCTCAGGGAGACGAAGATGTGGATGTTTCCAATTCACCGGGCAAAATGACTCATCTGCGTGGATAGGATGTTGAGGGGGCCTCGACCCTAATCAAGGATAAGATAGAACGGACGAAGATAACAGTGAATTGCAAAAACAAATTAACAAAATTGATTAAATTAATGATGACTCTGGGTGTTGATCTGTGGGAAAGTCCAAACAAGTGATGACAGATAATGTCGGTATTCGTTAATGATGTCTTGCCCAGAATCGTGATAGACTTTTTTTTAATAAAAAAAATAATGATTTTGTCCCTGTTCCCTTCTAGTGCAAATGAATCCATTCTACCTTAAATAAAAAAAAACCAAATCATCCTGCTTTTAGCTGTTCCCGAATTATGATACGCGGAGATATCAATATCGGTATATCCTCTCGGCTTCGAAGTCGAAGAGCTGAATGAAAATAACGCACTTAATTTTGGAAGAAGGGTAAGCGATTAAAAGGGCCCTTTTCATGTAATCCTTTGCAATTCAAAGTGCAATTCATGTCATGGTCGCTTTATATGAATGTGTACATCCGAGCCCATCCCAGTGTGAGCTAATTAGCATTCATGAGACCGATCCACTAAGCAACGCCCACTGAGGTTTTGACCAATCACAGCCATCATTGACGTCCGACATTGCGTGCCCAGAAGTCAGACACGTGGGCTTGAAAAGGACACCCCCCCCCCGAAAGAAAAAACCCGCTATATCTCGATACATGAAATACTGTGACGTCAATTAAACTTGTAATTTGTGGCGTTGGTTTAAGCTTACTATTATCAGGTCATGAAAAATATGGAAATTTACGATCCGATACTTGCGGTTTGTCAGCCATCATGCTGAAATAATAACCAAATGAAGTGTAAAAACATCAAACTATAACAGACAAACAAAACAAACATACACATGTCATGTGGATCGTGAGTCACTTCCATTAAATTCATGTTGTTTTTTTTAACAGAACACGACCCAGATTTGGGGTTTTGGTATCAGGAAGTTCACATCTCGAAATTGCCTCTTTGTTGTTTTTCTCTGTGGCAGGATGAACACGTGGGAACCTGAATACAACATCCTGGATCCTGTGCTGATCTTGGAATTCGAGGAAAGGTAAGCCCCAGAGTCAAACCAATTGAAGCCCTTCCCGTTTCGCCAATTGACTTGTTGAATTAATTCGTGGCTGTTTATCTGACGGGAGAGGGGAGCATAATAGCCACATCCCTGGGAATCGAAACGTCCGTGAATCGGTACTGAACTTTGCCTGGGTCGCTATCCCGGATCTCAGGGCCAATAGTTTAAGTACAACAGCAAATGGAATGTGGTCAGGATATTTATAATGTAAGGCAGTATCCTGTAACCCTTTTCTCTTTATAATACCGCGGTTAGTTGGTTGAGAGCCCTGTTCGCGCCAAGGGCACGTCCATGCACGTATCAACACGCCATCGGTGTTATTTACAAAGATCAGTGTGCATATTTATTAGTTTCTTTTTGTAGTAAAGTGTACTGTTTTGTTGGACCATTTTTTACAGCAGCAACTTGGATTGCGCGATTGAGATCAAATTGAAGTTTCCAAAAAAGTGATGATGTCCCACAATGACGTCATATACCCAAGTGGCATGCACGCATTGCGTGAGATTTATTGTTTGTTTTGTCGACTTATATATAGCCCTGAATCATAATGACGTCACGGTTTGTTTACAAATTCGCTTGTTTATATGACCCGGCTGTTACGACGAGCTTCTTTGTTTTAAGAGGGCGCGCATGTAAAATGTAGATAAAGCGTGACGTCACTGTGTCTCAGGTCTGTTGTAATATGGCGTTTTGTTTACAAATCCTTACGCCGATAGTCAATCAGGATAATCGTCTGTGAAGTTGGAAATAATCCCCAACGTGCAAAGAAGGACCTGTTGACTGAAGGATTGAACTGTGATAATCGAATAGTGACGTCAGATATCTATTGATATGCCAACGAAATAATTCCGTCGAGGCTAGAGGCGCGGCAGCCGTGACGTTGTCATCGGTGTTTTTTTGGCTATAATAAAAAACTGACTGTGTGTACAGAGCTTGACATTGGCGTTGTACCGCTATACCTGTCTAGTCAACCATTTCGATGTCAAAAGTTTAATGAAATATCGAAAGGGGTTTACATTATATTTTTTTGTACTGCTTTGCCAAAAAGAGCAATGTGTTTTGCGTATTAGGCGACAAACCAAATGGGATTTCGCAATTACCTTTTCTTTGCCATGATAGCTTAAATTTCTCGAAAGTTCCACTGATTTAGAAAAACGTAGACAGGGATTATGGAAACAAACAAATACACCCAACGACCAGGCTTCGAGTTTGAGAATTCGTGGACTATGAAACATTGATAATGGCACAATGGCAGGAAGTATGATTTTCCACTTTGCAGACGCATGTCATTGAACTTTTTAACGACTTGATTTACGACTATACGAAGCTGTAATAAAAATCGTATTTGGATATTGCCTATAGCTATACGCAACACTACATTTCCATGACGACCATAAAGTAGCGCGTAAAGCAACATGGCTCAAGTCGTCTGGCAATCTACCGGGTAAGGGAGAAAATCAACTAATGAATGTTTCATTATTCCGAGGGTTCACTGTTATTTCGGAAGGGAAAGTACAAGTGAGACTTCCTGAATTTTGAGACGGGACCGTTGCCGTTTGGGAATATGGTTTGGATTTAAATTATCTCAAGTGAAAGTGTCACTATTTATATTCTGACATGTATCGCGAGGAGATGAGATTACCAAATCAACATGTCAACCTGGGCAGTCCAGAAAGGATTGACGCGTCTGTCAATAGTCTCACATGATTTTATTGGCCTGAATATTATTTTATGGCGAAATGCGGTCAAGCGTTGCTTAATTACTCAAATGTGAAATGGACAATTGTTGAGTTATTCCAGAGGAAGGTTTAAATTGTTTTCGTTGTGTTGTTTACACATGTACATGAAAAAGAGAGTAACACATGACGAAAGGTCTTGTTCGCAGTAGTCGGTCCGGCAGGTGTTGTGTGCAGGATCAAAATCATTATTTTCAAGACAGCTTTTACGGCGTTTGGAGACAAAATGGCGGGTTGTCGCTACTTTGATTTGAAGCTTGAGATGGTGTGCATGCTCCTTTAACTAAGTGTTTCAACTTAATGATGGCGTGATTGACAGGATTCTTGCACTTTCAAGATTATGTGATGCTTGTAAACACAGCGTGCAACTTCTCATCCTGTTCAGATCTATAAATAGCTCGAGGTCCCTTGGGATTGGAAAGGAACGTACTCGTAGAGACTGCATAATCTCAACACGGACGTCATTTAGGTATCAATCGTTAACATTTATAACGCGAGTCAATCCGGTGTCCTTCACTGTACACCGAGATGTCAAAACACTCCTCAGAAATATTTGCACAGTATCGATATTGCGTTATCGATTAAAGTGTCACCTTGAGGTATCGAGGGGATTGTTTCGATATCGATCGTCGAATTTCATTGTTTAACTCAATTATTCATCGTGCGTGTCAATTATACTGTAGTATATGTGGAAGTCTTGGATAGAGTTCAAATGGGCGACATATTTTTTTTGTATGAATAACATATCTGCATTAAAATAAAAAAATACATGTTTTGATTAATGCAGTTGGGTTGTCTAAAGGAACACCAATCAACTCTTCTCGATTTCTGCCGTACTAAGATCAAGAGTAGTGTCGTTGAATTCATGCAACCCATTGCACAGATCGCCCTGCTGAACGAAACCCCTAAATCAAGTCCTACAATTCCAGAGTATTTCATCATTCTATAACTGCATGCGAAGGTTTACAGTTGAATAAGGAAACTTCAAGACTAACTTCTGTTTAAGAATTAACGGTACATGATCCATCAGTTTATAATCTGGTTTGAAAGTTATGTCTATTTAGCCTAGGGAAATTTGGCGTTTATCGGCATTTGTACTAGGTAAATTATTTGGACGGTTTCAAAATGCACCGTGACCACGAATAGCGTGAAAGAGTTGTTCTTTTTAACTCGAAAATGCCTGCCATTTTGACCAAAAGAAAGCACTCCTTAAAAAGTTATTTTAATATTTAAAAGCCACTCTCTAACAAGACTAACATTACACAAGCGGTAGAAATCCGATATTGCACGACCAGATACTCGTACTCTTGATGACGTCATGACTGTTCACCGTGTAAGTCAATGCAGGTGGCTGCATGGGAGGTCATTCAACCTATCGCTGATATCTTACCGGTTAGACGCGAATACTCCCGGAAGATAGAAGTTCTCGTGGTTTATATAATAAAGCTGCTGACGTGATGCCTCGATCGTCAGCAAGCACGGCCCGCCGTTCTCCTTCTTGACTGAGTTGGCAAATCGATGCAAATTAGCATCAATTGTTTTCCTAAACTTTAAAATAGTTCTCGCTAATGTTGAGCAAAAAAACAACACGATCCCTTTATCCATTCTGAATTCTGCTCGTCGAAATCGAAACCAGCTGTAGAATTACCCCAAGCACTCTCCGTTTGAAAAAAAGAGTGAAGTTGAAATTATGTGGGCATTTTTTTAACTTTTAAATTCAATATTTGCTTTTACGGTTAAAGGTGTATAGGTCATATTCTAAACAAAATCAACCCACAGGTGGGCAGGCTTGATTGCCGCGTGAATTTTTGAGAGAACATTTCTTTTCGTTTACCTATGCCATTCGTGTAAAATGTAATTCTAATGGCAGCATTTGCAAACGTTGAAACATTTTAACCGACCAAATATTATGAAATATCCTAGTTGATTGTGAGTAAATAATATACACATGTAGGATCAAAATGTGAAAATGTGAAATGTGAAATCAATTCGCTTAGTAATGCTGTCATTTCCGAGAAAAAGGAATTTACCATCATTTTCTCGTTATAGTTGAGACTAAACCAACGCAAGACAAAACAAAAAAAACACAGTTAATTACCCCTAAAATGTCCGAATTCGGTTTAGTTTAAAATATCCGTGAATGAGAATTGTTTTCCTGAACTGGATCGAGCCACAGGAGCCGGGTGCAAGTCCAAAACGTATGAAAGGAAGGGAGAACTTTCAACTGAAATCTTGCTTTGTGTTAAGAAAATGAAAATGCATTTTCACCGTTTTCTCAAAAGTATGATAACTGAGCTTGAATTTCGGTAAGTTATTTTTTAATAACCTACTATACAGATTATTGTATTGTTGAGAATCGGCAAAAATTTGGTGTTTTGTTTTTGTAAATGGCATCCGTTATATCTTTAAGCCGCGGGGAAAGAGTATTTGACGCAGAAGAGGAGTATACAGGAAATGAAAATAATTTGGTAAACTAGAGAGTCGTTTTGGTGTGCAAAATCATGGACAAACCATTGTATTTAGTAACAAATGCCCCGCCCCCTGAGACGCCGGTACCCGCTTTTGCAGTGATTAACTATGGTGAAAGTTTAATGGTTCGGTAATGAGATGATCATTGTCCACTTGAACATTCAAAATGGAGAAGGAACGCTCATTGGATCTCATTCGATTCCCACGCTTTGGGTATCGGCTGAATGATCACTTCTTAGATTACTCAATGGAGATCGACACATGGTTATTACGAATTAATAATTGTGCGCGCACATGTCAGTCCAATGTTGTTGCGTGTGCGCCATACGTTCGCGTGACGTGAGCAACGGTCATGTCAGAACGCCTCGTGTACTGTGAACATAAACCCACGTACTATCATTGTAGTTTAGTACCGGTAGCCTTTAATGAAAGGGATCCCATAGATAAATGAGACCACGACTGCCAAACGATTGGGTTTAAGGAGCTTTGTGGTTGGGGAACTATTGTTGTTAATCGCCCCTGTTGCCCAGATCGATACGTATACATTTATGTGTGCTCAAGGCCAACATGTGTTGTTGCGATCTTTTGATGAAAATACTGGGTGTTGATTTTAAGATTTAGATTATCCCAGGCGTGGGAATATAATGTAAATTTTAAATCGGCTAAACGCTTATTTTCATGATTGACAAACTGGTTCTATTCTTTAAGAATTAAAATCATTCTGCTGATTCAACTGATTTACTGTGCTTATTCTTCAGCATAATATTCAATTTTACTAACACCTCGTTAGTATGAAATCAAAATTTGATAAGAATGCTTAATAATAATAATAGTATAATTAAAATGAATGACTAACTAACTTGTTACAAATTACGTGTCGTGCGAACTTCGAGTAGTACAAGTTTTGACCTCGAAAGCCCTCGAAAGCCGCCTCTGAAGTACTTGGTAACGGTCGGCAATTACACATGCGCCTATAGAAGCGGCTACATCTACTTTCCATAGACGTGTGTGTAATTCGGACACAAAGCGCGCTTCCATTGACACCAATAGGCAATCTTCACCTATATGTTGTCGCAGTTAATCCATCATGCTTCAGTTACGATGAAATACGGTTAAAGCGTGATAGATAATCCTATGTGTCCAGCAGCTACATAACATCGTTAAAATTACTATCATCACGGTTCACGTTTCAGGGCGGTGTTTCGACCACATGTTCCGTTTACGATGGAGAATATTACCAGGGTTCATGTCAGCATTCCCACCAACTTTCCTCAGAGCGGATATAAAATGCAGTCGTCATATCTAGCTTCCCGCCATTTCTGGGTCAAGCCTATGAATTATTTCTACTGATGGCGTGATTGCGCGATCGAAATCGTTCATTTTATTCTGCTTTAAAGTAACCTAGCCTTGAGATTTGGAGTTTTTGTTGGGGGATTTCAATATTCGTTTTGTCATACCATCTTAAACGATAAAGTGTTATCTTGAAAAAGAAAAGAAGCTCTCAGAAACTCAAAAGTCAAAACTGAGACGTTTGGACATCTGTCAAAAAAATTAAACTGAGAAACGAATAGCAGCCAGCATATGTATCCAAATCAACCACAGAAACTATATGGACCTAGACCCCCATAAATGGTGCAACCAACAAATGGTAAAATCGTGGAGGAATTTTGCCCTCAGTCGAAAGAGGTTAAGTGCCTAAAAGTTGCATTCGCCTCTGGGTTATAGATTAACACAATATGTCAAAACATTTAAACGCCTTTTAACGAATCTCGAGACATTATTGAAAGGAAGTTTGTTTGTCAGTACCGCTCGACGCAATAAGGAGCTGTCTTTGCACAAGAAAACAAACACAACTACCCATGTTTACCTGGTAGTGAATGTCAACACAAAGGAATCTTGCAATTTGCCAAAATTCAAGGATCCTATTCTCTGTTTTTGTCTTGCAGGATCGCTGAGCAGTATAGGAAGGGAAGACCCGGCCGTAAACCAGCCAACCTTAAGGTATGCTAGTCAAGAGGGAACTCAGAAGTCTCGATTCAAGTTGTGATTGACGCGCAAAGTCCAAGAAACACAAGAGACAGCTAGCTACGTCCTGTGTATAATTTTGTCTTTTCTTTCATTTCCTTCTCCAAGTAGACGTCATGCGTTAGGGTGGAGTTAGGGGCCAGTGGTTTTGTATCGTATGGACAGGCATTAGTAAACCTGTTTTGCATTCATTGTTACTAAATTAAGATAACAAAGGCCCTCTGAGACACCTGTAACCAGTGGCGTAGCCAGGAATTTTTCAGCGGGGGGGGGGGGGGGGGGGGGGGGGCTGGAACATTTCATGGGGGGCGTCATGTAGATCAATGATAATTTGTTTAGAAACTCAAAATCTCAGTGGGGGGCGACTGGGGGGCGACAAGGTTTCATGGGGGGCTGTCGCCCCCCCCCCACGCCCCCCCCCCCCCTTGGCTACGCCACTGCCTGTAACGCACAAAGTCTGAATGCTATTGGAACATTTTACTACGATATCAATGGGCAATTACATCGAGGAAGATTCCTCTCAATTGTGTGACATTATAGTAAACGGTATTTTATTCAAAGTTAAGTCGGCATCAAAAGTTCAAAACAACAACGTATGCAGCATTGCAGAATATCTGCATTCATTTGCCACTTAGCCTTAGACCAACAATTTCACTTTGTCAAATTGATCATTACAATCATGTTCCCGAAGACAAAAGATCGTATACGGACGTCATCAATATAAAAAACCAAGTTCGAGAAACTGCACTCGCGAGTTCGGATCATTTTAATCAGCCCTTCGCATTAGGAATAATTAGTTTTTGTTGTTAGTGTCGGATTCGCAAAAGCCTTTCTTCGTGACGAATCTGTTAGACAAAAAAGAAAAGGCCGTTCGTCAACAATTGATGGCCGTTAGGCTTGGGTTATTACAATCTGGACAGCGGAAGGCTTAGAACGCGCGTGGCCTATTGAATGGAGACACGGCAGCTGCTAGCTAGCCTGATATAGGGCGGGGTCATCGAACTTGACTTCTAGACTTGGTTCCATCGGGCGTCATCTCTTTGTTCATGGTATATGGCCTAACGCCAGGAGAATGGGACACTTCCTCCCCCCCCCCCGGTCGGTTAATTTCAAGAGTGGATTTGGACATCGACAAAAGAAGTCCAGTTTTGATTGGGATGATGTGGCTTTTTGGAACATGAGCGTTGAAGGGCTGGCCCGTGACGGTAGAAATTAGGGGGCATTGTGTTGATGATTCTCGGTGTGTTAGACCTTTGCGTAACGGCCATCTTAGAGGGCATCTTTTGTGTTTAATTCAGTAACAATGAATGCACAAATGGTTCACTCTGCATATCCCAACAAAACAAAGGCGTTGTCCTCTACAGGATGGCTGCTATAAGGTACATGATATTTGTCCGGGTCATCCTTTGTAAAGAGTATAAGCCAAATTTAAAAAAAAAACAGGTTTAGCGTCCCTGCTTCCATTTGGATGCCACCGCTTTTTTTTTATTGAATAATGAAAAGAAAAAAAACGGGAAAAAATGATAAATTTTAAACAGGACATCATTTTGGCCTCTTTGTCTATTGGATCTAGCCCATATACAGCTGGTAGGCATATGTCATTTCCTGAGTCCAAGTGGCGGCCATTTAAAAAAAAAAGCTGGCGGCCATCTTGATAAATAGCCCAGCCGGCCGTTTTGGAAAATGGGTCGGCGGCCATTTTGGAAAAAAGGGTATCCTTCCTTCTTTTTTTTTCAAAAGGCAGGACGCTAAACATGTTTTTTTTAATTAGGCCTAATGAGTTCATCGAGAGACTTAAACATAAAACGTGTTTTACAGAGGGGCGTGATGAATCGTTTTTAAAAACATCTCCAACATAACAATGACAACTTAGTGTTTGAATATTTTCTTTTGATTAAAGTAAACTCGCCACGTTTGTCAGTTGAAAAATCAGGCGAAGCCTTACCATATATTGGACGCTTGCAGCAGTTGCGTGTGGGCACACGTGAGGTGCTGTGTTGGTTAATGTCTGTATATCGGATAATGTCTGTTTCGTTGCACCAAACCATATACAGTTATTGGCAATTTTCCAGAGCTTTTACGCTAAAATATCTTTGTATAAAATTTGAAATATGAAGGATATTTTACCTTCGTAAACAGGATTCAAAAACTAAATAAAGGCTCCGCGAACTGACTTTTGTCTTTCATAATAGCCAGGAAATTAAGGAGGTCGGAATAAGCGCTTGATTAATTCGAAATTGTCAAGGATGGGTATCTCCGATAAGTTGTACTTTTGCGAAAATTGGTCGGTCGTGGGAAAAAAAGAAGAGGAACAAGGATTGTGTCACTTGATTCGGAAGAAGTTGAACATAATAGACAGGATCGATGTGAACTTTTAAGCACTTGGTCTTTTGAACTGTACAGAAATTGAAATCTGGAATATGAATTTATAGGGGGTGATCTGAGGTGTGGATTTCACACGGACCAGTTCAGGCGAGGTATGGACTTCCCCAGATGACTGAATGCTGACCCTTGACCGAGAGTCACGTGTCATGGGAAAGGTCTTGGTTAACCCTTGGATGTAAGGGTTTATTGGCCATTTGATTTTATGGCCTTACTATATGACAGTGGCATGCCTTCCATGTTTTCATGACCGTGAACTCTCTCAGTAGCTGTCTCTCATCATTTTCCTTGTGGTTGGGACGAATTCAAGCCTTTGTATGACAATTGTCAAGTAAAAACTGTTAGTTTAATTCAGTAACAATAAACTAAGTTTACAGCACAAATCTGTTGGGAGCCATCTGACTTTTTTGGCTTTTGACCTTTTTTGAGTAAGCAAAATGTTGCTGCGTTTAGCTAAGCCGTTTTATGTTCAGCAGTTCCGCGAAGTCACCCACAAACTCCAAGCACATAATTTGGAGGAAAAGGGAAGACTTTATCATCATTACGAAAGCACGAGGGCACAAAATGTACAACAAAGTTACTCTCTGGAATTTCTTTTAACTTCAACAATTTTCATTGACGTTTCTTTTTTGTGAGGACTTTTCCCACATTTAATGATACGAGTAAAAACTAAGATGTAAGATTGTATTTGAAAGTAATATTAATTCTCCCAATTTAAAAAAAAAGCCCCGAAATTGTACGGATATCACTTTAAAATAATTAATTAACGAATTTAAAGGACATTGAGTATCGAATAAGTTCATCCAAATCATCCATTTTTACTGGATCGGGGTCACTAAAATTCAGTCCCGTAGCCTCTTCTCCAGTCAACAATTAAACCGCATACATGCAGAGATTCTTGTCATAGCCCGGACTGCCCTATACCTGCCTGAGCCAAAGGCTATTGATTCGCTGCATTGACTCCAATTATCACTCGTCTGAAGATTTTATACTTTCTTCCGGGCCTATATATAATTAAGAAACAAACTGTAACCTAACCCACGCCATTGAATTGAGCTGATGATGGTCATATAATACCATCAAAAAACATGTCGAGTGGCGGATAATTTTACAGGATCTCCTCAAAGCGATAATAAAAAAAGATATTCTCTTTGCTGTAAACCCCTGACCGTTTATTTGAGGGTATACCTCCATGTATACATGCAGGGGACGGTGAAACCTGAACCGATTAGAGATTCAGTATCAGAAATCGAACATCGCACGAAGGCCTTCCGTCTGCTAACTCGCCTCGTGAGCAACCTGGTCAGACAAACTGAAAACACGACGGCTGTCTTATGTGTCATTTACAACAAAAACGAGATTTTCGATATCAGTTAGTGCAAACAGGTATCAATTTCAAACAGCAGCAACAATACATCTAATGTTAACAATGTAACATGTAATTTCGAAACGTTAATAACGAACGTTGCTGTAACCTTTTTATGGTCTGTTGTGACTAAATGTCTAACTGTCATGCAGTTACACAATTTTTTTCCCATTTAGTTTATTTGAACTTAGTTTGAATCAGTTAGTTTATTTACTTCAGTCACTGATTATCCTTTATATCTAGTTTACTACATATCATTGTATCTCCCTGTGTATTTTAGAAAGCATTGAAATCAATGAACCAAATCATATAAATCATGTAAATCAAAGAAAACCCGAAGTTTCACACACAAAAAAATTAACGGTTATCTCATAAACACCTGTTGTAGAAATTGACCTCATGGAAAAGCTACGGGTGAATGCCGTCTCAGCTTTAATGCGGAGGCGGGGGCCCGACTTATTATGGTCTTTTCAGTTCCCAACGGCGAAAAAACAATCTTACTGTCAACATGTCTACTCGGGACCTCGGAGAGATCAAATTATAGCGTGGGGCAGTGTAAGCACGCGTGCGGCGCGCGTCCTCATAAAGAAAAGCAGGCATTACAATGGCAAATGAGAAAACGAAATTATTTGGTAAAGCGCCAAGTTGATAACCGATTGGGATGCTTTTTGGCATGAAAGTCGGGTTGGCTTAATTCTGGTTGTGTTATCGATTTTAAAGGAATGTTTTTGTGCATTCCGTGTTTTTTGGGATTTTTGTTTGTTTTTACTTCTACCATGTTTGTTATGTACATTAATTTGTAATTAATGAACGGGGAGGGTTTAATAATACAGACTTTGTGACTACATGTCCCTGTGAATATGCCTGCGTCGCCATAATACCTCAGACATCCGATCTGTAACTTGATGGCCAAGTCCGAATTCTTTTGTCCAACGAACCAATGAAACCATCAAATCTAGCTGCTGATAACAATAGATAAGAATTGTATACTCGCAAGGGCGGATCCTGACCACACATTTTTTTGGGGGGGGGGGGCAAAACAATTGTTGGTCCCTCCAAAAATGGGTCCAATAATTACGGCGTGTGGTTCGGGGCCCGCTTAATTAAGGGCCACGGGGGAAAAAATGGTTTCTAGATGCTCTATGGTGCGATCCGAGGCAATTTCTGACTATTTTAACCAAATACTTTTGAGGAAAAGATGGTGGTATACGCAGTGCCTGCCTTCATTGCGACGTCACTTGAAAAAAAAACGATTGGGTTTGTTTATTTTTATTTATTTATTTATTTATTTATTTTCTTTTTTTTGGGGGGGGGGGATGGCCTCCGTTACCCACTTCCCCTGGTTCGGCCCTTGTATACTCGCAGAACCCCCCCCCCCCATGGATTAGTTTTTTGAAACATTAACTGATTCGTATTTTTTTTCTGCTGATTTTCTTCACAGGATTTGAAGAATAAGAGACGTGAACTTCTGGCCAAGTGCAAGGAATATCAGCTTCTGTCAGAGCAGGCCAAGTTGAAGACGCTTCACGAGCAGGAGACGAATGAGTGTCCAGACGATACGGAAGCCCGTAACGGCCATGGCAACGAAGAAGCGAGTACCGACATGGAGACGCCAGACGCTAATGGAAATTTCCCCCATACGGACAAAGACATGATGAATGGGCAACAGAAGACGGTCAAAAAACCCAGTTTCTTGCAACTCAAGGAGACCAGCTCCCTGACCGGTAATTGTCGTGATGCTACATCACCCATCGCTGGTTGCCTTCCCTCACCCACCGCACCCAGACCACCACACAGTGCCACCTACATGGGTTGTGACACGCCCATCGCCTCCCCCAACTCCATGGATTCTAAGCCTCCCTCCCCAACCACCAACGCCACCACTCCTACCAACACCGTCAAGCTGGGCAAGTTTGCCTTACTGAGGAAGTACCGTGACTCCATGGAGGAAAGCTCGCAGATTAGCGTGACCAACGTGACAATCGGTGACGTGACAATTGCCATCGCGGAGAGTAACACTCCTAAGGGATTCTTTAGAAAGTACGAGCCCGAATCTGCCTGCTGGTGAAGAAACTATGAATGAGAAGAACATGAGAACAGTCTGGCAACAACTGAGAACAGTCTGACTGATGATGAAGACTGTGTGACTCGTGTTACCGAATTTAAAACTCATCGGTGAAGTCACCTTGTCACAAAACGAATTTGTTTTCGTGAGACAGTCGTCAGAGTAAAGGAAACTTAAAGGAAACAATGTGAGGTGGATGGAATTATATGTGGATGCAAAATACATAGGTTGTGATGTTGACGAAGATTCTTGATGAGACAGTGATGGTTAATATGGCGTAGGATAGACTGGACGGAATATCATCGCTCCTGGCATGTCCTTGGTATGGTGCTGTTTGGAAATGTGTGAGAGAGAGAAAAATCAAGTGGATGGAGCTTACGAGAAACAAACAAAAATGTCACGAGTCCTGAAAAAAAATGGAAAACAAAACTAGAGGCAAAAAAGGTCACAGAACCCTGTTAATCAATGGCAGATGTCAGATTATGATAGAGTTTTTGGTTTAGTTTTACGAAAGCGAACTTGAACCCCTGTTACACACCTGTTTGACATTGGTAAGCAGGTGGTTTAATTGGGAACAAGAAAGACGATGTTTTCCATGTCCTAAATTTTAATCTTTTTTGTGGCTATAAGCCGCTTCGATGGGTTCCGTATTATAGACCAGAACCATGCCAAAGCTTGGTATAGGGCTACGTTCGGCCTGTAGATTGTATAGACTTCATTCGCGTCGTGCGTTACCATGAAAACAGGATTTGCAGTATTTTGCTGTTTTCTAGCAAGGTGATATGTTTGCGCGTATACGTGGGAAAAGTGGACCCGTTTTAATAAAATCGGAAACATGAGTCATGGCATTTGAAAGTGATGATTGAACTGAGTCCTGTAAACTTCCCACGCATGCATTTGGGATAGCTAGGCCTACTGCTGTTCACAACATAGAATTGATCAATATGGAAGCATCATGTCAAATTGTATTTTTTAAAGCCAAACCGTTAAATATCCGCCCTTTTAGTAATGCTAAATTGAGTTTTAACATTTTGTTTTTAATTTTCAAATATGCCTTGTATGTTGTTTTTTCTTTAACCGTCGAAATGTAAAGGTTAAATAATGTGCAATTTTATGATGGCACTTGTTTAAACGGAGTAAAGTGTTTAGTGTTTTCTTAGATCTTAAGCTTATGACTCCTAAGATTTGACGTTTAGTTAAGATTTAAACAAACCTGTATAAGTGTCTCTTAAATGAACCGGGTACATTTTAATGAAGGAAACGGTTCTCACTTTATTATTTTTAATTTTTTATCCAGAATCATTACCCGTCAAAGTCCTAAAAGGGAATCGGTCAACATGTACCCAGACCATGAAAAGTGTAGGACAAAGAAGTGTCATGGTATAGGCCCCAATCTTTGGTCGTGATCCATTTGCGAGGCCTGCTTATTGGTGCAGTTTATGTCAATGTAGTATGACCTTTGAACTCGGAAGTACAGGCCTACTCCCTGTCCCGTACATCGAGCTAAATACAATATTGTAAAACTAAACCCAAATGAAATTATATTAAAATGTAGAGTTTAACACTAAAACACAGCATGAGGCTATTTTAGCCATATATAATATTCCGGTCTATACTTAATAAATACGCATTCAAATAAACAAGATTCATCTTTTGTATTTGTCAGTGAAAATTAATTCTTTGTTTTAAATTAGCTACAAGGGATCACTGCTGTTGTGACAGCATATATACTAAATATAGGGAGTGGTCTTGCCCTTATTAGTCGGCTTTTCGTTCCTTAGTGGATTTTATTAAAGGACAGATTTAAATTCTCAATTGTTCAATATTGTTTTCCCTATACAATTCATAGACATTGTATACTCGCATATTGTCCGATGGCTTGCGAAAAACAATTGTAGCAATATTGTCAATATTGAAAAGGGTGCGTTATTACGTACTAAGGTTTGTCCTAAATGTATTTTTCCCGCCAGAAACTTCACGCACCTGTTAATGTGCTTTGTCATATTTTCCTTAAGTAAACGAGTTTGGAAAGCTCGGTTTCCTGCCAGGAAGTTGTACAAATCAACACCATCCAGGGTAGCTTCGCTCCCAGTGGACCTACCCTAGGAAGTATGAACAAGAGAACAATTACCATTTTATTCTGGCCCAGTTATTATAAACTGAAAGTTTTTTTCCGAGTTGTCAGCCCCAGCGATCGAACCAACAACAATGTAGCATCATGATATCCAGCTGCCTAGGGCGTTATATCTCTTGGACGCGTGCCAATGGCTCTTTCGTCCAAACAGTGTCATGTCCCTTATAGTTTTGGCAACATTTCAAGCTTTCTATTATTGCTTGCCTGGATCAGTTGTGATGCCAACGCAACTTGAGAAAAACTTTATAATATTCTTTCGATTTACCCCTGATGATCCAAGAAAACCTTTGAGCTATTGTCTTGTCGTTAAAGGTAATAACAACATTTGCTTTTGCTGTAATTTTCAGAAATGGATGGATTTGGGGAGTTAGTATTTTATGGCAAATATTGTTACACTGACTTGTTTGACGTTTTGTGTTCGTAGATACTGGAAAAATTCGTCACCGACACCACGAACTGACACCCTCTGCATCACATGTGTACAAACAATTTTAAAAATTCAAATTTTCTTTTATTGCCGATAAAGCAGTTTGTATCATGAAGTTTAACATGACGAAGTTAAAATTGCTGAAATCATCTAAAATAAGCACATTTTACTAATGAATGTTCAAGAAATTGGTTAATTCTGGTGATTTTTGTTACCACGAAGTGACACTGCACAGGGTGTCAGTTCGTGAAAACAAAAATGTACGTGTTTTCGGAGAGTGCGCGCATGCAATAGCGTTAGGGAGTGTCAGTTCGTGAAAACGAAAATTGACGTGTTTTTAGAGAGTGCAGGCACGCATGCGCAGTGTGTGCGCGCACTCTCCAAAAACACGTAAATTTTTGTTTTCACGAACTGACACTCACTAATGCTATTGCATGCGTGCACTCTCCAAAAACACATAAATGTTCGTTTTCACGAACTGACACCCGTCTTAATCATTTAATTGCTAATTAACTAAGCATATTTTCACAATATAATGTTTATAATGGAGTAGTTAAAGCATTTTAACGTTAAGTGATAATAAAACCTCTAAGATAGATGGATTATTTTACTGAGTAAATTCGTGTCAAACCTTTAAAAGCTTTTTTCTTCGATTTGTATTTCTGCAACGCTGACCACCGGGTGTCAGTTCGTGGTGTCGGTGACGAATTTAGCAATTTATAGACGTTGGGGAATTGTAAGGTCAGGGAACCAGACTAGCTGGCTTGTACCCGTTCATAGGTGTGTAATCGATTGCAAACAAAATGCGGACTAACTAAATATGGTAAATTGGGGGCAGTATTTGAAGAAAAAAACCCAGATTTTTCCAACGCTGGTCGGCCAACCAGCACACCAGGTGCCATGATTTTACAGGATGCTTTAGCCTGTCATTCACTAACAGTCCAGTAAGGTATTTTCATAATAATTTCTTAGTTTTGTTTTTTGATGTTGTATGTTGCAAATGTTGTATATTCCCTTTAACTCGCGCAGTTTTATTTAGGTTATTGTTTTAAGATTTGTTCCCTTCTAAAAGACATTACCCAGTTAGTATTGCTTTGATGTGTGAATGCGGTTTGTGGAACTAATTGTTATATATTGTTATATATAACGTACGTGAATGTTTCTGCAATGTAACGTACACATTCCGGAGATAGGTATATGTATCCCTTGCCGGCAGTGTAGGAAAGCTGTTACAGATAATGAACATAGTGATGATTGTGAAGAAATCTTGATAATGTAGCCTTTGATTTGATGGGCACTTTTGGTTGAGCCGGCAAACGGGATCACATGATTTACCTCGAATGACTCACGCTGGTATCGTACCACATCGCACTGTCATTATATATGTTGTTGGAAATTCCTTTTTTAAACTTAGAATGAAATATTTACCTTAAGTTCCCCGTAGACTGAAGTTTATTTATTCAGGACCATGGTTGTTCAAACTGACGAAATTTATAAGAATTGATAGATAATGATATTTCTATATGTAACCAGTTATAGTAAACAGTAACCAAGTTGTGATACCAGTACTCGTTCAATTCCCGAGAGATCACGCGAGAGATGACTCAAATCGTAGCCGAAATGAAAGCATCACGATTTATTTCGAGGTTTTTGTAAATATATACAGATTATATTTTTGAATAAAGAGAGGTTTTTTGACAGGGAGACATGATCCACGGATGGATTACTGGGATGCAAATTCGCTTCCTTTTAGAAAAAAAAAACTTTGGTTTAAATTGGTTGCAACATTTGTAACTGTAAATTGATGATGTCACAATTGCTACATTTCCCCCACAGAAAGACATTCTAATAAAGTGACGAAAGAAAACAGCCGTCTGATCTTCTGCGAGTGTTCCCTGTGTATGTTTAAATGCTTCGTTGCAGCTTACGGTTACAGCAGCACATTCTTTTATTTTCGCAATGCAAATGAAGCACGGGAAAATGTCACGCCACTTTCGTTTTCAGCCTTCACACGACCGCAAAAACACCATCAGTTCGATATTAAAATCGAAGTATGTGCATGCTGAACAAATGCAAAACGTCAAGGTAAAATGTACCTCAACACAACAAGACATTGCGATGTAGAAGGAAGTGTGGTTTTCGCAAGCCACTATAATCGAATGGTGCACTCCGAATTTATAAGGGATAATTCCGTTATTTGTGTTTTTCTAAATCTCTGTTTTTGGCAATTCGTAGGTTCGACACACAAATGCATGCATTCATTTCCTAACTCGTACGGCATTGAAAATATATGATTCCATATCTACATTCTTAGGATAAACACATAACGTTCCGCGTTGAATGCATTTTGTTTAAAAAAAGAAAAGAAAAAAGGACAATATTTGGTATGAAGAATTTGGGATTGACATAATAAACAGTGTCGTACCCTCGTAGGCCTAATCACAATAAAAAGCACGCAGTAAAGATGTTAAATTTCGATTGTTTTTTTATGAAAACCGGAATAGGTTCATTATAAAGGTACGTAGAAAAATTGGCAATTGCTCGGAAAGGGACCGATTTAAATAAAGAGAAAAATCGTGCTAAAAATTAACATTAGGATATGAAAGCCCAACTAATAAGCTTTCTTTAGTACAAGAATCATTCAAATCACTTATGTCCTTTTTAAGTTACGGAATGTTAAACACAACCACCGTTTTAAACTTCAGTCCATGGATCACAAAAAAGGTATAATATTCTTTCAGCAAAACGAAACAATTCACATGCATCCCTATGTGATTGTGAATTGTTTTTCGTTTTGCCGGAAGGACGCATCTTTTATTTGTGATCTGTGGACAGAACTTTAAAACGGTGGTTGTGTTTAAAACGCCGTTACTTGAAAAGTACATGAGTGATTTGAATGATTCTTGTACTAAAAGAAAGCTCATTGATTTGGTCTTTCATATCCTAGATTTTGATAGTGATACATGCAGAACTTCGTTACAAATTGTTCCTGCCATTTGTGTTTTCTTTATTTTTACTCACCCTGTAGACTAAACACAGGTTGTTGTTTGGCATTATATCTAAAATCCATTTGGTGAAATCGCATGCATCGACAAGAATTAGAATGACAAATAGTTGAAAGAAGATTGCGAAAATGGCATCTGTGCCCTATTTATTTTCAGTGTGTTCCCGATTACAAAATGTAATGAATAATGCAGGTTTATGTTTACCTATAAAGCACAGTCATTCCATCTGCGGGAGAGGAGACGAAATCCCCTCGAGAATCCTAGATAAAATTGGAAAAAAATACTCATTAATAATACAGGAAGTGATTGACTAATAATAAGATAAAACAACAACCCGAGTTGAAATTTCATGAGGTAAGTTGACTCAATCACTAATGTCAAACAAGTTGGGGAAAATTTTGAGTTGGAAGTTCAGGAAATAGACTAGGAAGTGTTTGTCGATGATGTAATTGTGATTTCTCGCCTCTTGATTCGCAGTCACATGTAGATGTCGACATAGATGGTTTGCTTTACATTCGATTCGACTATAGTTGTTGAGAAGGAATAAAAGCAAAGGTTGAAATCAAATCCTACTCGAAGATTCCGTGGTTTGGACCGTACCCGTCCACCGGCTTTCTAGCAAGTGGAATCGGTGAGCTATACTTGCACGACAAAGGTCTCTGGTACGAGTGAGTTCAAGCGCGTTGCAGATCCGACGTAAGGTATTAAAAGCATGTTTGTTTTTGCTCATGTATATTGGGTATTTTGAAAAAGTTGCGAAGTTCATGTTCGGCAATTTATCAAATATCGAATATAAGCTAGTCTCCTCCGTGAAAACTTCAATTTATCATCTTAATGACAACAGTATTACGGCAGATAGGTGATGGGATTGTGCCTTTGATGATACAAGCATGGGATTTGGCACATAGTCAAAATATGTCTTAATATGTAGAATAACAAGCAATGGAAGTCATTTTGAACATTTCGAAAATTGCTTGTTATTCTACCAATTTGTTGTCAAAGGACAAATTTGCGATAGCCCTCTAGCCAAATATCTTTCTTATAAGACATACCCTGACTGTGTGCCAAGTTCCATGCTTGT